GAAGAGACCAGTCGAAGGGAATGTTGCCATATATCAGTGGTTCCCAGAGTTTGATAAGAGTGTCTCATTAACACTGGTTCTGTGTTATTTATCATGTACAGCATTTGTTAGACTCTCATTCCATTATGTTAAGTGCTTTATCATTAATCCTAAAGAATACTAAAAAAAAAAACCAAACCAAACCAAATAAAAAACAACTCTGCCATGGTTAATAAAAATAAATTAATAAGGGCAAACTATTAATTGAGAACAAAATGAAGTATCAACTACCTTAAAGGCAATAAATCCTGACTCAAACAAACATCACATGAAGGAGTTATGTATATGTCTTATTTTTACTAGATTTTAAGTTTTTAGAGGAGAGTAGTCCACTATAATGCCTAGAATATTCAATCATTCCCTCAGTGAGTATTTACTGACTACCTACTGGTATGCCAGACAGCACACTAGGTCCTAGGGATACAACGAAGTGAGAATAAGACAGTTCTTGTCTTCTAGAACTTCATGTCCACCACAGGGATAGGTACCTCCAACATATGTGGTAGATAAACTAGTATGTCTGGTCACATTAGCGGCACCACACTACACCTAAGAACACACCTGGATAACCGTGTAGACCATATACAGTAGGTACAGTATGGCTGTTAACAACTCAACATTCCCAATCCAGGATTGTATCTTCTCGGTTATGTCAGCTTGAATCTTTATCATGACACCTTGTCTTCCTTTGACGAGTTATTCACAAGGTAATCATACTCAGTTCCAGATGCCGGGGTTTCTGGACTACTAGTCCCCAAAAAATTATTGAGTAGAATTAGCGTTTTGGAGTAGTGTGTAGAATCACATATGAGTTACACTTATACATATATGTATGAATATAATATATATGGATAAATATATATGTAAAAATACAAATACATATATACACACAAACACACCTATTACACTTTTAAAATTTTTATTTGGTTAAAAAAATAACCAAAGTGTAATAGGTCATAAGCCCACTGCTCTCGGGACAGAGAAAGGCAGGGTAGTAAGGGTGGTGAATTGCTACAGGATGAGGAAGAGTTACCATGGGCTGAGTGGGAGTTGGGGTAGGGGAGCCCAAGCTCCAGGTGTCTGGTGGGAAGAACTCCAGCCCTTTAGGCAGTACCTGATAGCCAGAGAGCAGTGAGCAAGCAACAGGTGGTAGTCCAGGAGAGCAGTAGGCATCAGGTAATAGGGGGAAAAGAGGCCCGATAGATGGATCGGTTATTGACACAGAGAAACTAGGAACGAAGAGCTGAAGGCAAGTAAGTGTTGCCATCAAATATCTATCAGTGCACAGCAGAATTGGTGTTTCGGGTGTGGGGCAGAGTCCAGTCAACAGGCAGAGAAAACCAAGTTCCATGTAGGTTAATAGGCTAGGGCTTCAAACACAAGTAAAGTGCTGTGAGTCAGTTCTCAGAAAGGGGCCAGGGTTAGGGATCCCGAAGTAAGTAGCAAAGGCAGGAGGCTGAGTCCTGGGCCTGGAGCTCTGAAAATTCTTCCTGCCATGGAGCCAGCAATGAACTGGGTTTTATGGTAAAGGGTTTATTGATAGTAGGTACAGGAAGACTATAGAGACCATGAAATAGGTGGGATCAAGTGGTGGCTACTCTGCAGCAAGAGCCTCAGTACACCATTTTTTAATCAAAGTAAACAAGTGCTTTGAAGCAAAGAGAAATGGGAAAAGGAAAAAGTTATTTAGAGTTAAAAATAGAAGGAAAAGTAAAATATACAATTCTAAAGAGCAAACTTATAATAAATTTTAAACGTTTCTCTTTTGTGCACTGAATTATATTTATATATTATCATCTTTTTCTTACACAATTTGTTTTGGGTTGGTCCTTCTAAACCATAACAGGGTATTATTGTACTGTTAACCAATAAAATGACGTAGTAGTGTCCCTAATGAAAAATGTAGTTGTTTACTCTTCACAATGTTTTTGTCCATTTAACATTAGGTGTGAAATCAACCTCAAGCATTACCCTTCAATTACTGGGCTCTTACTTATCTTCATACTCACAAAGACTTAGTACTGCCTTTGCCTCATAAAGTCTTTACAACAGGAAAATGACTTTGGATGGATTAACTTGGATTAATCTACTGAACTACTGCCTTCCCTGAAAGCAGAAGTCTCCACTTCACTGAAGATGGTATAATCCATAGCTTCCTTGACCCACCCTCACCTTTTCAACATAGGCCATGCCACCCTCTAAAACTGGGTCTTGATGACAAGGTTCAGCAATGCTTAGAGGAAGCATTTCTTAGATGCTATCCTTATCTCTCTCATTCATTTAACAAATACTGAGCAGTGCTATATGCCAGAAACTAAGCTCCAAGGAAACAGTTGAGGACAAGATTGACAAAGTCTTTGCTCTCATAGAGTTTACATTCTAGTGGGACAAAGACACTCAGACCATAAACAAATAACTAAACAAACAAGGTAATTTCATAAAGTACAAAGTGGTACCAAAAAAAAAATGAAATTGGCTGTGTTAAGACAGGTGATCAGGGAAGGTGTCCCTGAGGATTTCAGAACTGTATGAGAAGGGTAATTTTCCATTCCAAACTAATGCTATGTGATTTGGGCATGTCACCCACTATCACTCTTGGGACCTATACCTCAAACAAATTGTATAGAGAAAAAAGGCCCATTTCAGCCGACTCTGTTAATCTACTTAATCGTCACATTAGAGAATGTTAAATTTGGACCTTGAGGTGTTGCCTTTGAGTTTGAGCGCCAGACCATTTGTGTCCAGATGTCTCCTTGGTCTTCCTGGCCGCTTTCTTCATTTAGAGGGCAGGCAAACCGGAGAAACAGGCTGGCATGCACGCACATGCCAGGAACCAAAGAGAACACTATGCCCTGCTCAACTGTCAGTGGATCGCTTGACCGCTGTGAAAACACTAAAGATGTAATCCTGTGTACTATATAGGCCTTATCTAAGGAGAGTAAAAAGATGTCAAGTAAAATTGCCAAAGACCTAAAAAAGAGATCCTTTTGTAGAGAAAAAATATATCATGACTTAAAATTTGATGCCTCAACTTTGCTCTCATTTCTATAGTGGCATATAACACAAGCCAGGTAACACCAATTTGTACATTCAGAAACTTGATGTGCTTACGTTCCAACCTGAGACTCTTTTCTATTTTATAGATTAATTCATACATCTGAAAATTGAATTAGGTTTTAGAGGGTATATGAACACACTTGTCATGGTTTTATCTGCCATGACACATTGCTCAGCAAACATCAATGAGTTCTTTGGTCAGTCTAAATATCCTTGAGCAAAAGGTCCAGACTTTTCCCTAAAATTAAAGCAGTATAGTACATAGAAAACTTGAAAAAGTGACAAATTTTAGTTGACGAAAGGAAACACCATAGCATACGTTCTTTCTGCTAGCAAGATACTGTAACCCATGATTCTCAAACCTGAGCCTGAGACAGCTAGAATTAAGAAAAAAAATGAGAGTAAATATAATTGAAAAAGAACTTGGAATTACGGAGGATATCTGAAATATCAAGGGCAAAGTTAGGTAAAAAGAGAAAGGAGAGGCAGAATAGAAGATAGGCCCCCAAAAAATCCTTAAACAAGAATGTAAGGCAATTCAGACATTTAAACAAAAATATAGTGGACCACTCTGAAATCTAAACATCTCTTTAGGGAGAACGTGTACAAAAACAAATATTAGTGCCTGGCACATTTTTATTTTTCCTCTTTTTACCCAGTTTAAAAAGTGATTTTATAACAGGACCTTAAAAAAAGAGTATCTTTTGTAAAGACATTCGTTGAAATACCAGAGATTAAGGTCACAAATGGTGTTAAAAAGGGGCCTATACTCTTCACATACAGGGCATTGAATACTTTTAACAGCATTTTCCACAAAGAATGAGGAAAAATGGAAGAAAACAAGTAGTGACAATTATTTATATTTTCCAAATGGGGGCAATAAGACTCCGGAGGGTACGCGAGGTCACTAGAGTGAGCCAAAGGTGGAGAAGGGAGCAATATTTATAGTGCAATGACTTCAGTTCTGTTGGGTTAACGCCGCTCCTCATCTTATGCCTTTGGAATTCACGGGTTCGCAGATCACACGGCTCAGGGAGGCCCGGGCCTCGGAGCGCCTGGCCCAACGCGGAAACGCTTCTGTGTCCTGCAGCTCATTCGGAGCCGGTCCACTTCCACCTCCCCACCAGTGCCTCCGCACATTAGCAAAAAGCCCAGAAAAAGAAACCGGGGCGCTGTGGGTGAATAATGGCTGAAGTGTGGCTACATGTGTTTTCTTTGTCGCCACACCACGGTGTGTGGATTCTGAGCGATCAGGCTTATCTCACCAGCCCACCAACTGGCGCTCAAGTGGAGTATGAGTTTGTCGGAGTAGTCCACACCAAGGACTCGCCAGAAGGGACTCTGTCCTAGGGGGCCCGGCCCGCGCGCAGCACGCGGCTGCGGTGTCCGTGCGTCCCACGCACCGTGTATGCCTGACACGGCTTCCAGAGACTAGCCGCCCCACGACGGCGGCAGTGGGGCTTCTTGGTGAGGAGGGGCTGGCGGGATCGAGCGGAGAAGAAACCCCCTAGACAGCAGCCCGGCGCCCCCTTGACGGCGGCTGGCCCTCCCACCCGGCAGCCGGGCGCCAGGAACCGCGGACCCTTCGGGCGCTTCCGCCGCGCGCTCGGCTCCTTTCGCGTCCGGGGCGGAGCGCGGCGGGTGTACTCCCAGTGCGCGCGCGCAGCCCCGTCTCCCGGAGGTCCGCCCCT